GGGCTCTGGGCCCCAACCCAATTCCTCTCATCCTGTCCCTTGTTCCCCAGCTCCCCCCTCCTGTCAGGGGGTTGCAGAGCCAGAAGGTCCCCCCTGAGCCTCCTTTTCTCCAGGCTGAGCCCCCCCAGCTCCCTCAGCTGCTTCTCACTGGATTTATGTTCCAGACCCTTCCCCTGGAGAAGGCTCTTCAGGGGATTCAAGACACAAAGTGTCACAGGAGTGACCCAAAAGAATTTTGGGGCCCATTTTCTGGAGCAACTGGAGAAACTATTTCCCTGGGGTAGGGAGAACTTACTGATGGGCTCCTCTGGATGGAAGGCCAGTTCATTCACAGACCCAGCATGGCCTGGCAGCTTGTACAGAATCCTTCTGGATGTGGTGTCCCACACGTAGACAAACCTGCAACAGAGCCCTGGTGAGTGCAGGAAGGAAAGCAGCTGCTTGTTCCTGCAGTGGTTCTTCCCCTGGCTCTTCGTGGGGATAAAGAGGAGTTTCCCAGGAGCAAAATGCTGCCCTGAAGAGTTTGAGCAGGCAGGAGCCAACGTGGTGCCCAAAGCCTTGCTGGTAGCAGGGCACAGCAGCCCCCTGTCACCCCTGGGGCACACACATGGACTGGAAAGCTGGAGAGATCCTCCATGTGGCAGGAACACAGTGGGCTAAGGGGGAAAATCAGCAGTGGGAATGGGGAGGGGGGGTCACCAACGCCCTCACAAACACTCCCTGCACTCACAGCAGTCACCCAGGGCTGGCAGAGCTGCCCCTGCCCCTGCTGCAGTGTGATCCCTCACAGCCCACAGCTCTGCACATGGATTCCTTCCTGCTGTGCCACTGAAGTCAGGATCCACTTCCCAGCAGTTCTCAGGGATCACACTGAGCCCTTTGATCACTCTCCATCAGGCCTCACCCCCTGGGTGGGTCCTGCCTGAGCTGAGGGGCAGCATCCCTTGGGATCCTGGAAGCCAGGAAGGAGTGGCTGGCACCAGGCACGGCTCAGCTTTCAGCTGACTCTTAAAAAAGGTCTCAGAGTTGGGGGAACAGTGTCCCAGATGGGTGTCCCTCATGGGAAGCTCCATGCCCTTCCCCTGGTCATGGAGAACATCCCAGGAGTCACTGGGATTTTGATACATCAACATGAGAAGAGCCCTGAGGAACATCCCACAGCCCAGGGGAGGGGATTCTGCTCCTCACCTGCACAGGTAACCCCTCCCATCCCACCCTCCCTTCCCAAAACAACGGCCTCGCCACACGGAAAAGGATTTGCCAAAAACCAGTGCCTGTGGAAAGCTGCTGCCAGTTCTGGGTGATGCTCCCCCTGCCCTCCCACTCTGCTCCTCAGGGAGCTGACTGACAGCTCCAGTGGAATTCTGGGGTAGGGAAGGGCAGTAATTGGGTTTGGTGGGAAGGGCAGCTCCCTGAGGGCATCACTGGGGCTGTTCACAGGGGACAGCAGAGGGTGAGGGCACAGGGCCAGCCTGTAAATACATGGAAAATCAATCTACTCCATGTCACTCCTCCAAGGGAAGGTCACTGTGCATCCCTTGGATTTAAACCTGCTGGGGATCAGCAGCCTTTCCCTCATCCTTTGAACATCAAGGCTGGATCCTCTCAGGCTTCTGTTGGGTTCCTCAGTGCCCCCCCTGCTCCTTCCCACGTGTCAGGGCTTTGCAGACCAGACAAAGAACAACATTTGCTCTGTACAACCAGCCTGGCTTTGAACTGAAACACAACTGAGCTGCTTTTCCCCCCTAAGAAAGCCCTGGATCATTCAGAACCCAGTCCTGTCAGGAGCTTTGCAGGCTGGTGCTATTCTGGGACTCGCTTTCTTGAAGGAAACATTCAGGCCTGCAAAACTAAGTCCTGAACGTTACTTGAATTAGGATTTCTCCAAGCACCATTCTTCTCTATCAGGCAGGAACTGTGTCTGTTCCTTTCTCAGAGCACTCTGCTGCTGTGCTGTTAATTTGGTGTTGCAAAGCAGGCAAGGTTGGTTTTACTAAAATCCTTCCGAAGGGTTCAACAGCAAAAAAACACCCAGGTAACTGTCCCTCCAACACAGATACTCTAACTGTACTCCAGGTAGTGCAGGAGGAGAGAGGAATTATTGGGGGACTGTGTTGTACTCAGATAAATGAAATGTTTGTTTAACCTTGCTTTGCTTTCCCTGCAGATACTCCTCAAAAAAAAAAAAAAGAAGATGAGAAGTGACAGCAGGAAGGTTGGAGTGGCCTGGTCTGACCTGCCCCAGGAGCTGCCAGAGCTCTGAGCTCCACCAGCACCTGCACAACGAGCTGAATGGCCCCAAATCCTGCCCACTGCAGCCCTGGCAGGTTGGCCTGCAGGAATCCAGGCAGGAATCCCTCCCCCACGTGCCCTGGGAGGGAGAGCCACGTCTCAGCCCCTGCTGGGACAGCTGCCCCACTATATCTGGATGGTGGGAGCTGAAGTTCTCCCTGTCCACTATCAGAAACTCATTAATTTGGTGATTAGCACAGCTCCATGCCCTGGCTCTGGCCTGCAGGAATTCCTGTCTCCATGGCACTGGCAGTGGGCTTGGATTTGCTCCAGGCAGGTCGGTGACCTTCACAGGGACCTTCAGTGCCTGGCACAGACCCTGTGCTGGCTTCCTCCCTCTGCCCCCTTTCTCTCCTAAGCTGACTTCAGTTTACAGAATATCTCATTTACAAGACCAATATGTGCTAATTGATCTTTATTCTTGCTCCTCAATTAAAGAAAGGATCAAGAATGATCCCTGGAATACCACTGGTGCCTCCTGCAAGCAGGGCTTTAACTGGTATTTGTGGTGCTTACCAGCCTGATCCCCACAGACACACACTTCCCACTCTTCCTGCCCTCATGGATTCTCACAAGCTTCTGCCAGGACAGCAAGGGATCTTATCCACTATTCCTGTCACCTGCTGGCCCTGGAGTTGGATCCTGACAGGTGGGACATGGCAGGAATGCAGATCCCCAGTCAGCTTTGGACAATAATAAGATTATTTTACAATTATCTGATGCTCCTCCACAGACCCAAAGCCACAGAAACACATCCCTGTGGAAATCAGGAAAGCTCCCAGAGGGTTGTTTGGACTTCACACACAACTCTGAGTGTTCAGATCATGGTCCAGGGCTGCTGCAAAAGCATTCTGGGTTGATGGTGACAGAGGAATGCAGTGACAACTCACCTGTCAGCTGAGCCCCCTGCTATTTTACTGCCATCTGGGGACCAAGAGCACCTCAGGAGGTTCTAAAATAAAAGCACATGCACAGATCTCTTTAGTTCTCCCCTTCTCCTTGAACTGAAATCACCACGAGACTCTAAGCAGCACCAGCACCACTTTAATGATCTCCCTTTGGAAGATGAGATGGTAATTACAGATCTTATTTTATTGCTGGAAACATCCAGTGCCTTGTTATTTTACACAAAGTAGATGGTAAATGGAGAAAATACTTAATTTACAGCTAATTATGGTTGAACCAAGCAAGGAAATCTTGTTATTGAGGCTTTAATTGGAATCCCACTTTGTGTATTCATCTTTCTTTGAGTTCCTATTAAAGCCTTTCTGGTCTAAACTTGAACTTAAAAAACAATTTACAGCAAAGTTAACAGCAGGAGGATATCAGACAGTCATGTTTGGGTCGGGGGCACACTCACCTTCTCAAAATTATGGACATTCCCCTGGAAAATCTTCACACACCTCTCCTTGGGGGCAAAGGGCCGCACGTCCCAGATACGAACTGCAAGAGAGAGCCCAGGGCCATCAGCTGAGGGTGGGGGCACCAGGCTCTGGAAACCCCCCTCTGCCCAAGACATTCCCTATTCCCTTCATTCCTGGCCCTCCCAGAAGCCAAAGGAAACCAGCAGCTTTCCCTGCAGGAGGATTTGCTATGAAAGGGCAAAAGCAGGAATGTGGAATTACACTCAGACCACTGACAGGAGGGGAAAAATCCCAATCCATCCCAGAAAGAGCCACCATCTCCTTACAGGAGCATCTGCTGTATCCTAACACACTCCACAGTCACTGTCCTGCTTGGATCAGCCTCACTGAACCCCTTTTTCCCCCAGGACAGGCAGGGTGGGAGCTGGGATGTCACTGCTGCTGTGAGGACACAGCCAAAGCACCCTGCCAGCAGCCAGGTAACGTGTGCCATGGCTCATGCCCCCACCACCCTTCAGGAGCTGGGACAAACCCTCCTGAGGCAGCTGCTCCCTCCCTGCCAAGCTCAGGGCCATCCCTGGCAGGACAGCAACTCCAGGTTTATCCCCGGAGCCAAACTCCCCGTGGCCCATCCCCACTCCCGGCTCCTGTTGTGTCCTGCTGGACAAGTGGAGCTGCTCCTGGCAGCCCAGCAGGAGGTACCTGTGTTGTCCATGGCGTTGGAGAGCAGGTAGGAGCCCTCAGAGCTCAGGCTGAGCCCCGTCACCGAGTCGGCGTGGCCCCTCATGGTGTAGGTGAGCTTGTTCTGCCGCAGGTCCCACACCTGGCACAACAAACACACGGCCCACAACGCTGGCACTGCTGCTCCCAAAGCACCTCCCACAGGAACTGATAAACCAGCTGGTGCCACTGGCTTTGCATTCCAGCCAGAGGGCTCTGAGGACTCCAATGAGGCTGAAACTTTGCGTGTGTGTTGGAGGGAAAATGGAATTTGTGCCCTAAGGTTTTCTAGGAGTTGCCTGTCAGCAGCCCCGTGCATGCAGGACAAGAGGGAATGGCTCCCCACTGCCAGAGGACAGGGTTAGATGGGATTTTGGGAAGGAATCCTTCCCTGGGAGGGTGGGGAGGCCCTGGCACAGGTTGCCCAGAGAAGCTGTGGCTGCCCCATCCCTGGAATGCCCAAGGCCAGGTTGGAGCAACCTGGAATAGTGGAAGGTGTCCCTGCCCATGGCAGGGGGGGGAATGAGATGAGCTTTAGGGTCCCTTCCCACCCAAAACAGTCTGTGCCTCTATGAAAACATGAGGCTGAAACTTTCTGTGTGTTGGAGAAAAACCAATTGTCTCTCAGAAGACTTTTAACTGAATATATTCAATAACCAAGGAGTTAAATGTCAGCAGCCCTGTGCATGCACAATTCCCTGTTATCTTGCTGTAGCTCCCCCAGCTCTCAAATCCCATTGCCTGATGGCAATCCCACTGTTCATTCCCAAAGAGGGGCAGTGGGACCAGCTCTCGTGTCTGTGCCACACGCTCCTCAAGCTGAGGGAAGCCACAGGAACCCAGACTGAGCCCTCCAGCCTCCAGGAAAACCAGCTGAATGAAACCCTGAGCTCGCCCTTAAACAAGAATTTTCCACCCCAGCAGGTGACAGAGCGAGCTGCAAACTGGGGCAGAGGTCAGGGAGGGGATGTGCCACCACATTTTCCTGAGTTTACCTCACAAGTGGCTCTGGGACAGGCAGGACAGCCAGCATTCCGTGTGACAGCAGCGTGGGACACCCAGCCAGGGATGCCAGGGCTGCCCAGCCTGTCACGTGGCAGCTCCCTGGAGCCCAGTTTACTGGCCCTGTGTCAACAGTGAGGTTGGACACAGCCTGTCCAGGGGCTCTGGGGATGGAAAATGAACCAGGAGGCTCCCAAGGTGGGCACTGGGAGAGGGACCCGGGGACACAGAGGGTCCTACCTTGATGTCGTTGTCGATGCCTCCAGAGATGATCTGGTCACTGGTGTCGTTGAAGGTGACAGCCAGCACCTGGTAGGTGTTCTGGAATGTCTGCACAGCAGCTTTCTTCCTGATGTCCCACAGCTGGAAACATGTGGCAGTCGTAGAAGGATGGATATTTAACATAAATATGGGTATTTAGCAACAAAATCATGCACAAGGACTTGGAAGAGACTGAGATTGCTCCCCTGAAACCCCCTTTGAGATCTCAGGAGATCTCTATAAAAACAAAGCTTAGAGCTACCTGGGCTAGTGGAAGGTGTCCCTGCCCGAGGCAGGGGCATGGAACAAGATGAGCTTTAAGGTCCCTTCCCTTAAAATAATTAAATCTGGTGTGGTTGGAGCACAGGAATGAAGGGAGGGAAGAAGGAGATTCTGGGAATGGCTTTTGTTAAACGAGATCAGAAGAAAAAGCACAACTCAGCAGGTGGATCTCTATGACCCTCCCAAAGAATTAAGGAACAAAAGGAGCAGCCAAATTTTGTGATGTTTTTTTACTTCTGAAGCTGAAGTTATAAGATAATGAAATGTTATGAATAAGGCTGAATTAAAAGTTAAGACCCGAAAAACTCTTCCAGAGCTCAAGAACTGAGGTCAGGACAATAAGGAAGACCTGGAAGGACCAAAGAAAGACTTCCAATAGGGGTGTGACTATGAAAAGCAAACCAATGAATATGTATTAATTAAGAGACAATATCTAATGAATCCGTAAACAGTGTGTGTAATAAAAAGCCCTGCCCACTTGTCATTGGCATTTTGACAATTATAAGATTATTTTACAATTATCTGGTGCTCCTCCACAGAGGAGCATTAGAGGATTAGTGGAGCTCTCCTCCTGAATTAACATCTACAAATTAGTGATAAGAAGTTTGTTTCTGCAGCTTTTCAGTGTCATTTTTGGCATCCCAGATGGGACTGGGGAACCCACAATCCCCATAAAAATGGAAAAAGCCCGTGCATTATATCTTTGTGAACCTAAGGCTTTAATTAATCCAAGAACTGTTTTCCACCTGTCTACACTCAAATTGTCCAGAGATTATTTCTCTGATTTCAGGTGACACAGGACACACTGTGCTGTGGGGGGTGCATCGTACCTCTGTGCACCTCCTTAATTACTGAGAGAGCTGCTTTCTACCTCTCTGTACCCAGAGTGCAGAGCCTGTTTCCCTGACTCCAGGTGGCTCAGTGCTGACCTTGACGGTGCCGTCGTCGCTGCCGGTGCAGACGAGCTGGGGGCCCCTCCGGGCCGGGTAACAGGAGTTCACGAAGGACGTGTGGCCCTTCAGCCTCTTCACCCTCTCCCCGGTCTCACTGTCCCACACGGCCACGGTCTTGTCCGTGGAGGCTGAGAAGAGCATGCTGTGGGCAAGAGGCACTGTGAGGGGCTCAGCTCCTCCAGCACTGCTCCCCCCTCACACCTCTCTGACCGTGCTCAAAGCCGGGAATCACCGGTGGGAGAAGAATCTCCCTTCCTAAATTGTTTTCCTGCCTCCCCGAAGGCTCTCTGGGATGAACACAGCAGGAAAGCTCGGCAGCAACAGTTCAGATGCAGTAGTGGAAAAGCCTTTTAAATTAACCAGCAGCTCACTTGTTTTCTCTCCCTCCCCAGTGTCTCACAGATGCCCAAAACTAACTTCCCTCTGTTCCTCAGGACTGAATCAAGGGCACTGCTGGGTCACAGGTGACTTTGCTCACACCAGGCAAGCAACAATCCTTATCTGGGAAAGCCATGTTACAGGGATTTGCAGTCCATGGATTGAGCAAAGGCAACAATCCCAGGATCAATGAGGTTGGAAAGGACCTTCCAGCCCATGGATC